GGGGTCCATATAATAGGGATCCTACTGTTTAGGGTGCTATATTAGGGTCCCCTATTTTCGGCCACCATTTTCGGAAACCCCCAAGCTAACTTAGGTTACGAGAGTAGGGATCGATAAGACTTTCCGGGTTCTTTAAGGGTTGAGGGTTTAGGGTCTAAGTTGCCGGAATAGGGATCTATTGTAAATATATAACATGGTTTCCTGCCTAAACCCTAAACACTACACCCTAAACCCTAAACCTTAAACCCGGGACGTCAGGGCTCGGGGTTCTCCAAACTCAGCGGGCACTCCAGGACTCTTTACCGCCGTGAAGGGTGACATCTGAGTGAGGGTGTGGTGTTCTTTTTTCGCCCGCCGGAACCCTAAACCCTAAACCCTAAACCCTAAACCCTAAACCCTAAACCCTAAACCCTAAACCCTAAACCCTAAACCTTAAACCCTGAACCCTTAGGTTCCGTAGCAAGAGCCCAGGCTAAGACACCGACGGGGCCGGCTCGCGGCCCTGGACACTCTGACGCGAAGCCTGGGCCTGGACACCTTGGCCACACTTCAGGCCACCGAAGAGGACGGTTTAGGGGTTAGGGTTTAGGGTTTAGGGTTTAGGGTTTAGGGTTTAGGGTTTAGGCACAAAAGAGGAGGGTTTAGGGTTTAGGGTTTAGGGTTTAGGCCTTAGGCCACAGAAGAGGAGGGTTTAGGGTTTAGGGTTTAGGTTTTAGGCCACAGAAGAGGACGGTTTAGGGTATAGGGTTTAGGTTTTAGGCCACAGAAGAGGAGGGTTTAGGGTTTAGGCCACAGAAGAGGACTTTGTCACAGTTGGGTAACATTTTGCATGTTTGTGGGTACTGAAACCCAATACCGAACAGACGTTTACAACTTATGGGTCTTTAACCCCCATAAGGAATAGAAGTTTGAATGGTTTTAATACTATCCCGACCATGAACCCTCAACTCTAAACCCTAAAAACCCTAACAACCCTAAACCCTAAACCCTAGCAACCCTAAACCCCAAACCCTTAACCCTAACCCCTAATACCGTACTATCCCAAGCATGAGCTGGAGGAGCTGAACCTCTTCGTGTCCGAGCAGGATATTGCCGGGCAGGTCTCGGCGTACCAGATCCTGGGTTAGTAAGTTTAGGATTTAGGGTTAGGGCTGAGGGTTTAGGGTTTAGGATTTAGGGTTTAGGTCTTAGGGTTTAGGTAGAACTATGTATCATATAGTTTCTTATGTTAACTTAAGTTCCATAATCCTGGGTTTTTTCCGGAACTTCATTTTGAGCTACCAGCCCTGGGATCTATAGTAGAATCATCGATCACATGGTTTGTTCTTGTTTGTTACGGAAAATTTACGGCGTATTCTCAGCATATGGTTTATTGTTGTTATGATTACTATTGTTGTTATTTCATGTTCTATTTATGGTAACTGAAGTTAAGTTCCTTAACAACCCTAGACCCTAAAGGCAACTTAAGTTAAGTTCCCCAGCAACCCGAAACCCTAAACCCTAAGACCCTCAAGGTAAGTTAAGTTAAGCTCCTTAACGAGAACCCTAAACCCTAAATCCTAAACCCTAAACCCTAAGCCCTAAACCCTAAACCCTAACCCTAAATCGAGGATCTTGGCGGATGCGTACATCGCCAGGAAGATCTACGGAGAGGCGCGCAGCGCTCTGAGGAAGGCCGTTGAGTTGCTGAAAGGAACAGCAGCTGCGGAGTTGGAGGGCCAGACCTTATTGCTCCTATCGCAAGTCGAGGAGTTTAGGGTTTAGGGTTTAGGGTTTAGTTTAGGGTTTAGGGTTAGGGTTTAGGGTTTAGGGTTTAGGGTTTAGGGTTTAGGGTTTAGGTTTAGGACTTCATAAACGATCCACTCTTTTCAAGCCCTTGCACTTGGAGGTTCATGGATAGTTCTACGCGGGTTGAGGCTCTCCATATTAGGGGACTGTATCAGTCGAGGACTTCATGGGCGGGACGGCGGCTGCGTTGAAGTCTGCTGAGAAGGCCCTGACCGCTGCGAAGTCGAGCAAGGCTGGGTTCTTGTTAAGGGATTTAATATAAGTTACCATAATAAGGAAACCATATTATTATCTATAGATCCCTATTATGGTAACTTAAATTAAATCCCTTAACACGAACCCAGAAGGCGGGTGCCCTCGTGACGGAAGCTCGGCGGGTCGTCAGCCGCTTGCAGACGAAGTCCGGCCACACAGAGCAGGCCCCGAACCGACGCGACGCCCTCGAGGCCCTTCGCGACTTGACGCAGGCCGCGCGCCGGCGCGATGCGGAGGAGTTCACGGCTGCTATGGCTCGCCTGGAAGATCTCTCCGGCTACACCGACGAGGATGTAAAGGCAGCTCTCATCATTGAGGATGCTGGGCTGTGGAATACCATACTTTAATACTTTTTTTGGGGGGATCTGTTCCTTAAAGGAACCATTATGAAATACAAGTCTCTACTCTTTTCTCCCTAAACCCTAAACCCAAAACCTGAAACCTTATTTCAAAGCCC